ACACACACACACACACACATACACACACATAAATGGTGCTTGTTGATTTCAGCTATATATAAATTTTAAATAAACACGAAAAGTAATATTTTCAGCCATATGTACATACTGTTACAGTGGTGCATGCTTCTATTAAACATATTTATTTCAAATGATGAGGTCAGCATATGTAGAATCCTCTGAATCAAAAGCTCAGGCTTAAAACTGTTCTCAGTGCTCAATATTAGATAGTGTTTTTAAAAAATAATATGGCCGTGTTAGCTCTGGCTGTGTGAACAGAAGCCACCCACCTGCTGTTCAAACCTTATGACCATGAAGGGCAGCCAATCAGAAGAAAGAAAGCTCAAAAGGCGAGGAGCTGAAAGAGCTCGTTTCAGATACAGGATGAACCGAGGGTCTGCACCAAGGCTAAAGTAAAGTAAGGCTAAACCGTGAATCACGCAAAGCTACTCTAAAAGGGTTCAAACTAAAAAAAATAATTAACGGTTCATTGAACGCCCGCTCCCCATTTCCTATTGCAGTTTTTAAGTTTAACTTTTCGAGGGTTGACTCACAAACATTTGCTCTTACTGTTTAGTTTTTAGTTGCTCCAGGCGTTGCGATTAAGGAATTAATCACAAATATTCTGACTGAATTGTTTTCACGCTACCAATTACAAATACAGCCATGCAATTTATACTCACAGTGCTTCTCAAAACTGAAGAAATGTATTTGAGTCAATAATAAACCGTAAGCTTACAGGACCTGACCAACTACAGTGTCAACACGGGAAACCAAAAATAACGCAGGTTAGCTTCCACTGTGCGCATATTTAACTGTAAATGATAAACAAGAAGCTTGTACACAGACAGAAAGTCCCGTCGATGTCTCACTGAGCAGTTTCACCTACCGGAGGTTTGAAGACGCCGCAGACACTCGTGGACATCTAATTTGTAATAAACAAAATCAGTGCGGAGCGAACCGACGACTCCTTCACGGTCAGGGCATTCTCAGGAGTTTTTAAAACTTCTTCAAATCCGCACATCTGCACACTGGTGCGTTCAGGAGTTCCGCAAAAAGCTGCGAAATCACATCTTCGAGTGGAACGCAGCGGTTTTATTTTGTTTTTGTAATTTTAAGTACAATTCTGAACTGAAATTAACTTTACTTATCCTTACCAGAATGAAAAGCAATATGAAAAAGATCTAGCTGCTTCATTTTCCAGTGAGATGGAATTAGACAAATAAAACACACCTTGTAGAGCAAACTTTTATTTTATTTCATTTTATTTTATATAAAGAACTTTTTTTTAATTTTTAGATTATTATTCTTTTGTTTATCAAAAAAGAATAAAACTGATATCATGTAAAAACATATATGCCTACTGCTGAGCACAAAACAGAACAAAGCAAAAAAAAAAATCTAATTCTTTGTCTTGTTTACTTTTTTCATTACTGTATTTTACAGCTACTTTAACATTTATTTTGCCATGTTTGTCTATTTTACTTTACTGTCTATATGTGTGTATATGTCGTTTATGTTATAACATAAAAAGTGTTACAAAACTCTCCATGATTTCAACAATCTTTGTAATATAATGCTTTATGACTCAAGCATAACACTCTACTTTCACTAAAACTACATTTTTGTTAATGAATTCAAATAAACATCTGTAATTTGGAAACTTGTTCAAAAGATAACATGCTTTTTTTTTGGTAAAACTGTACATTTGAAAACTCATGGTCAAAAATAATAATAATTATGTTTTAGCATTAAAATGAAATTTGGATTTGAGAGCTTGTCCATAGTGGTTCGTTAACTATTGCAAAAACACCAGAAAGCTGATTCTGCTCATCTGCACGTGGAATTTTCAGAATCATCCAAGTAAGGAATTGATTAAGCATAAAAAATATTTTGGTAATTGCCAATGCTGTTAATGTAGGGCAGGTAAACCTTACACTAGGTGTTATTCTAATAAATTTGTTAAGCACTGTATATATGTGTGTGTTACATATATATTGTATTTTATATATAAATTAAATATAAAAATTCCCCGCTCGCCCCTGCGGGCGGTCTTTATCCTTCAAGCTCAGGTCCCCTACCAGAGGCCTGTGAGTTTGAGGGTCCTGTGCAGTATGTTAGCTGTTCCTAAGACTGCGCTCTTCTGGACAGAGATCTCAGATGTTGTTCCTGGGATCTGCTGGAGCCACTCCGGCCTAGCTTGGGAGTCACCACCTAGTGCTCCGATTACCACTGGGACCACTGTTACCTTCACCCGCCACATCTTCTTGAGTTCTTCTCTGAGCCCTTGGTATTTCTCAAGCTTTTCGTGTTCCTTCTTCCTGATGTTGCTGTCATTCAGTATCGCTAGGTCTATCACTACTGCAGTCTTCCCCTGCTTGTCCACCACTTACTATGTGCAGTTGGTTAGCCATCACCATTTTGTCCGTCTATATCTGGAAGTCCCACAGGATCTTGCTCGGGCATCTCCCATTTTGACCTCGGGACTTTCAGGTCATACTCAGCACACATTTTTCTGTATTCTGTACCTGGTTATGGCGTTCCATCTATGTCCTGCCTGCGGGCATCTTGCACCCTGCTGTTATGTGCTGGATAGTCTGACAGACATCTTTACACAGCCTGCACCTTGGGTCTTGCCTGGTGCGGTGGATCTAGCCTCAGCTTGTGCTGAGTATGTGCTCATGCATGCTATCTGCCTGTCTCATTCAGTAAGCCCAAGTATTTCGACACCACCCAAAGATAAGATTGTTTGCTGATTGAGAAAAATTTATATATATATATATTAAACAAACCAAAACACACCCTTAGTAGCTTCTGTACCTCAAATCCTCACAACCCTGCAATAGACTGGTGACCTGTCCAGGGTGTACCCTGGCTCTCACCCGATGGTAGCTGGGATAGGCTCCATCCCTCCCATGACCCTGACAAGGATAAGCGGAAGAGAATGGATGGACAAACCAAAACACGCCCTAAGCAGCTTCTGTGCTTTAAATCCTCACAGGAAAATAAAACGTTATTCAATCTGGGGAGTTCTTGCAGTCAGTAAATATTTATGAAGTAACTGTTCCTGTATTTCACCTGGTTTTCCCCTGTTGTAGATGATGCAATTTCTTTGTCTCCTTTCTGGTTTCAGTGATGTAAAGTCACCTGGAAAAGGGGCGTGTTCAGTTAGAGGGTTACCTACCTCTGTGGGAGCCTTGGACTCTGAGTTATCAGTTTCATATGACGTCACTGAAGTCATGTAAGTATTTGAAATCCTAAACGAGATGCAAATTAGAAAATAGTAAAAATCATTGTTGGTGGAAAAAAAAAA